AGTGAATTGACTACAGTGATGGGGACAATTCTGTTGAATTACAATTTAAAATGCCATCAAAAAAGTTAAATCATGAAGATGGTTTGTTGAGACTCATACTTAAATTATATGAACCTTTAAAAGATATGGTAAATGCAGCGCTAAGAGCTGAGAATGAAGTTAAGAATGTTCTCTGCAATACTGTATGTGATCTACTAGCGATACTAGATGAAATTAAAATAAAAGCTCAGGTGGATACATTTATTAGAGAGAAAAAAAAGAAGCAAATAAGGTGGAAATTGAAGAAGAAAAATAAAATAAAATTGAAAACTGATGATAACAATATTTTCTCAATCTGCAATGAAGTTTTAATGTATGGTGAAAGAGTGGTAATGCCTGCATCTCTTCAGAAATGGATGTTGAAAGAATTTCATCAAGGTCACCCAGTTATCTCTAGAATGAAATCCCTCATGTGCAGCTATGTCTACTGGCCCAATATTGACAAAGACAGAGAGAAATTGCTAAAAGCATGCAGAGATTATGCCATGGCCAAAGACAGACACAGAGTGGTCAAGATTACATATCAATTTTGTGGGACCAATAGTGTCTACTACCTAATTATCAACAGTTTTTCCAAATGGCCAGATATTTTAAAATACAAGAGTCCAACTTCTACAATTAAAATAAACTTCTTCCATGAATTATTTGCTAGATAATAGTACATTGTTTATGATAACACTATGCTATTCACTGCTTAAGAATTTGAAAGTTTTTTGTAAAACCTTAGTGATATAACATATCAAAACTTTCCCCTAACATCCAAGATCAAATGAGCAAGCAGAACATTTTGTCAATACATTCAAAAGGGCATTAAAAAAAACAATGGAGGTGAAACTAAGGATACGTTATTAAAGCAGTTTTTACATGTATATTCAGTGACACCTAATCCTAACATGGTATCATGTATGTCCTCAGTAGAACTGATGTCCGCAAACAAAATTAGATTGGTGTTTGACAAATTAATGACGAATAAAATAAAAAAAAGACCGAAAACAAGGAAAAATCTGATACCCAGAAAAATTACAAAAATGGAAATGAATACTTGAAAGATGGGGTAGGTGAGAGATGTATTGGAAAGTTATTGTACATAATAAAAGGGTTTACATGGGTGCATAAAAGATAACTAAATCAAATAAGTAAAAAGGTACTCGGATGAACAGAGCATCTGAAAGGAGGAGCCGTTGGTGGTTCTGTATGATGTTTTTGATGTACCTATGCCCCAGATAGCCAGAAAACACACACTCAATTAAAAGGAAGAGACACCTACAGAAGTGTTGGATCTTAACCCAAAATCTCAAAAGTGGAAAAGTTGTGGTAAGAGTTAGTTACTCTCTTTACTGTCATAAATGGACTGATCCTTTCATGATAGGAAGTCCTATGGGTAATTGTCTAGGACGGCAATAATACTATTGTAGTGACTTGTCAAGCTGAGTATTGACTACTATTATCAAGACTAACTCTGTCAAGTGTTGTGCCTTGTCAGATCCCACATCATAACAAGAATAATAAAAAAAAAGGTCAAAAACAAGAAAAAAAATCTGATACCCAGAAATACTTCAAACAGGGTGAAAAAATATTCTTTCAAACTTACAAAAATAGAAATGAATGCTGGGAAGTTATTTTACATGATAAAAGGGTTTACATGGGTGAATAAAAGACATCTAAATCAAATAAGAAAAAAGGTACTCAGATGAACAGATCGTACGAGATCAAGAGCCAATGGTGGTTCTGTATGACATTTTCAATGTACCTATGTCCCAGATAGCTCCAGAAACAACACACTCCTGTAAAAGGAAGAGACAGCTTACAGAAATGTTAGATCTTAACCCAAAAAGAAAAGGTATAACTTCTGTAGGAAGTAAGTCTCAAAAGAGGAGATGTTGTGGTAAGAGCCAGTTACCCTTCTTACTATCATGAATGGACTGATCCATTCATGATAAGAAGTCTTGGGTAATTGTCAGAGAAGATAATACTATTGCAGTAACTTGTCTAGTTGAGTATTGAATACTACTATCATGACTGACTCTGTTAAGTATTGTCTCTTACCAGACCCCATATCACAACACACACTTTTTTACTTTTGTGTATTTAGTGAATTCATTTTCTATCCATATGCATTTGGCTTGCTCTCAGTATAAGTTCTAGATTATTCTAATATTCTTACCAAATGTATCAAGGTTACCTAGTAGTTCAAACAATTCTTTATGCTGTACTTTATCAAATGCTTTTCCTGATCTATAAACATATTTACACATCCATCAGCATTTGTATTGCTCTTTCTGATATTATTCTGACTATAAATATTGCATTCCTTGTTCCAGTGTTTTTAACAAAAATACACTGTTTTTGTAGTATTTCCATTATAATTCTGCTACATGGAGAATATAGATAAGTTTTGTTATATGGCTAGGCATTTTAAAAGATTGGAAAATTGTGTTGTCCATAAATACTTGGATAAATAAAAAGAAATCTGACTTTGCCTAATATATATCAACATTAATGTTGATGTTTTTATTCAACTCGGAAATGCCCATTATTTTTTGTCAATAATCGAATTATATAATATTATGCATATTATTGGAGGTACAGTGGAGTAATTGATTGTGGCTCAGATTGAGGAATCAGAGAGCTGAGTTTGAATTCTATTCGAGTTCATTATATTTGCTTACATTTCCCAAAGCTATTAGAATGTATGCATATCTTCTCTACCCAGCTATGGGTAAATAGTAGGACAGACTGGATTCTACAGCCTTGGGTATCAACTGGTCTAGAAGGAAGAACTCTGAATTCAAAACCACCAACTATGGGTAAATAGTAGGACAGTCTGGACTATGTAGCTATGGTTGGCAACCAGACTGAGAGAAGGGCAACTCAGAATTCAAATTTAGAGCCAGAGTCCCTAAGACAGTCCAATGTCATGTTCAGTTTTTTTCTGGCAACTCCTGTGAAGCTGCCAGTGCCATGCTGTATTGACCTCGCCTCCTCATTCAACAACATCAGTGGTGTGGAGAGGGGAGACATGCTGCATGGCTAATTGTTGATCTTTAAGGACATAGAGAGAGGGCATAACTCTGTAGGTACAGATCCATGGTCTCATGAGACTGACGAATGTCATAATAATTATTTCCTAAATGACACAAGAAACAAATTAAATTTCCAAATTGTACATAAGGCTAAATTTCTGGAGTACTTTGTGAAAATCTAACACTGGAAAAGAGCACTCTATAAAAAGTAATTGCTGCAAAGAATTGCTAACATTTTGTTAGATCCTTATTGCCATTTGCAGAGATAACCAACATCTCTAGCTTAATGCTGTCCAAAGCTATGTAACTCAAAAACAGTATTCTGTGTAATTTCATATTCAAAATATTAGGTGTATAATCTTTTAGAAACTCTACTGTTTTTGTTTAGTTTTAACAAAGTATTGTTATTTTATGATGATTGATTTGAGATTATATTTAACTAGCAGTAGAGCCCGGCATTGCCCGGGGATATAACAGTAAGAGATAGATCAAGTATCCACCATCATAAAGACTGAAAAATAAAATTGACAAAGATTATTGTTTAAGGTTGACGGACACGCATGTCTTAATTAGTTGTTTTTTTTTGTTTTGTTTTTTTACGAATTGGTCAAACTCAAACAAAAACATTGTTTTCAATCGTTATGAGTCTACTGATTGAATAGAATTTTATTATAAACAATTGTCTTGTAAATGGAATTTTTAAAGTATCCTGAATGTAAAAATAAAGAAAAAAGTGTGCAAGACAATAAGAAACACTACATGCCAAAAAAAAAGTGAAGTTTTGTTGAAATCGGTTGAAAAATGTAGGTAGCCTTTCTGTAATCTTTTAGTTTTACAATTTATGATTTTTACTTATTGAATACAGTAAAAAAAATTGCATATTTTGCTTGTGATTCATAATTAAAATTCTGATTTGAATATATTTTCCACTCGTTGTTTCTAATACAAAAAATATTAACTTTATTTGGGTTTATTAATTATGATCTAACAAATCTTATTCATTTAGTAGCCTTTCTGTAATAATAACCTTTTTACAATTTATGATTTTTACTTATTGAATACAGTAAAAAAAATTGGACACCATGTGTACTTAAAGTAGTTTCCGTTCGGTTATTATTTTTAGTTAGGACTTGTGTATGTTTAGATTTCATTATCTTTCCCTAAAGATAAAGAATTTATCCGATGTTTGTATTCGTACAATCAGTAGAGATCGTTAGATTATTGTTTAAGGTTGACGGACACGCATGTCTTAATTATTTTTTTTTTTTTTTTATTTTTTACGAATTGGTCAAACTCAAACAAAAACATTGTTTTCAATCGTTATGAGTCTACTGATTGAATAGAATTTTATTATAAATAATTGTCTTGTAAATGGAATTTTTAAAGCATTCTGAATGTTAAAAATAAAGAAAAAAAGTGCAAGAGAATAAAAACACTACCTGCCAAAAAAAAAAAAAAGTGAAGTTTTGTTTTATCGGCTGAAAAATATAGGAAATCCGCTCCCAATATTTAAAGTAACCCACACACACAAACAAACCGATGTGAGTTGTCCCCTTCCATTTTCACGATGTCTCTTAATCGTGTTTTCAAATTGATTTTGTGCAAAAACAATTATATTTTTCCCATTTTTGGCGCTGTTAGAACCACCACAAGGTAATTTTATGTAGTCCTGTGAAGTTTTGTTGAAATCGGTTGAAAAATGTAGGAAATCCGATCCAATATATAAACGTTACAGACACACACACACACACACACACACACACACAATCTGCATTTTATAATAAGTAAGATTTGAATGTCTTTAGACAAAGTATTTGACTTATTGTCTTGCTTTATTCACACTAATTCTCTTATCTTTTGTTAATTTCTTATGATGTCATTTTGGTTGCTGTATACTCTGGTATGTCATATTCTTTCTCTTTCTAATTATTTCTACAGGCCATGAAAATTTTGTCCAAGAAAAGATTAATGAAGAAAGCTGGCTTCTTCAGTAAGTTATTTTTTTCTTATTTTTTCTTTAGATTATTTTAATTTGAAAAGAAAAAAGTTGCTTTTTTTCTTTTCATAGAATTTTAGAGTGTGGAGCAAAAAGTGAACATTTAGTACTTCCTTGAAATTTTCTTTTATAAAAAAAAATAATTTTTGTTTTGTATTAAAAAAAAAAATCTTATTTTTGTGCAACAAGAAAAAGATGGAGCTGATTTCCAACCATAGCTATTTTGCAACTTGAGGAGTGATTGATAACAAACACTATTCTAACACTGGTAAGTTCTCAAGAAATAATATTTTTATTTTAAACACTAAGCCAGCTACTCAATCTTAATAAGAACCCAAATTGTTTAACTTTGTTCATCAAAGTAAAATATTGCCTTAAAAAATACTAACAAAAATAAAATAAAACTGTATCAGTTGCTTTTTATACTTGTATATTTGGTGCTTGCTTAAATGTTGCCTTTAGTGGTCTTCATGTTAAGTCACTTCCTATTTATAAAAGTATATGTGGATCTTATGCTTGGTTATTCTTAATTATTTTAAAATATCAACAAGGATTCTTCCCTGCTTATTGTTACAGAATGTGCAGGCGGCCAGAGAATATTAAACATCTGGTCAGAACTCAATCTGAGTTGGGTTGGTTTGAATACTGTGGGAGTGGAATTCTAACAGCGATGGATTGTTTTTGTTTAAGTTTTGATATAAGACCAAAAAAGATAAGGAAGCAGGCGCAATAATTACAAGGGGCATTATACCTTGCCACACCCAAATTCCTTAGTGAGGCAAGCCAATACTTGTCTATATGATTTGGGCCAACAAGTTGACATAAATCCTCTATGAGTACTGATTCTTATAAGTAAAAAAGAAAATTGTTTGTTGTTGATGCTACCTATGATGTAACATTGAGGCCTGAAGAATTGAAACCAGAGACATCATATTCTTATTATATTTTTATTTAAAAAAATAGAACAATTCAGTAATTTATGTGCAATGGATTAACTGTTATTGGTGTGGAAAGTGAAATCAGCAAGCTGAGTTCAAGTTCTGCTGCATTTACTTCATGCTATACCTTTGGGGAAAACATGGATACATCTCTTCTTCCTCTAGCATTTACTTAAATAGCATTGTAGACTGGGCTCTATAGTTTTGAGTGGCAGTCTAAAAAGACAACACCGAATATAAAAAATAGAGATCGCAATAAGAAACCTTTCTACAATCTTTTCCAAGAACGCATGGCAGTTCACAGATAGTAAAGAAAAGGAATCTGTAGAGAGATATGATTGTCTAGGTCTTTAAGGGACATGGCATAAAAAGGAACTGGAATTATCTCCCTTTTTTGTGTCAATTTTTTATTTACATATTTTTTTAAACTGATGACTTGATGTACTCTTTTTGCTATGTTACAGTTGTGAATACAGAGACATACAGAGATTTTATCATTATTAACTAGAGTGGGAACTCAGCTTAATATTAACTATTCATAAAATCTCAAATATATTGCCAACAATAAATATTCCTTTTAAGAAGCTTATAAATATCAGTGATGGCTTTTCAAACAAGATATGGCTTTGATATTTATTAAGCTTAGTCACACATAGCACAATGTCAAATGGAAAAAAGGAGTGGAGACGGGAGGATTGTGTTGTACCAATCTTCTAAATGAGGAGGCACTAAACATTCAAAAGGCTAGCTTTTATCAAAACTTGAACACCAACCATTGATATATTGTGGGAAATACCTAATGACCTCAGCTACATGAAAATCAAAGCTGATATAAATTTTCTCCTGAAATTTATTATATTAAATAAAACTTTTGTCAGTTATTATTCATTTTTGACTAGTATTACATTGATCTTTAAATTCAGTTGCTATCTGTCACCATTACTCAGACCATCATTCTGTAACTGTTAGCCAACTGTACCAAAATTTAGCCAAAATAAAGAAATAAAGCCTCTGGTAAAATATGAAGTCCCATTCCTTTTTTTCCCCATGTGGAAGGCACATTTGAGTCTCAACAAAAGTTTATTTTTTTATTTCTCATCCATGCTGTTTACTGACACCCATAGAAGACATTGTGATAAAAAACACATGAAATTAAAATCAAAGAAAAGCCTTATCACAGATGAATAAAAATGAGCAACTTTTCATGTAATAATAAAATTCAAGATACTGTTACTACTAATACTACAAGTGTATGTAAACATTAAAGATGGCAGGCATTCAAGGAAAATCAAGAATAAATTTATCTGGTTAGATAAGAGCTTCTGTAACTGTTGCATTTAGTAGCTAAAGTGGTAGAACAGTGAGCTTATGCTTCTTGAATTTCTTTTTTCTTTTATTACTATAGTTCACCAAATACAAGTCTCAAGAGCCACCCAGGGTAGAAGGTTACTGAGTGAGATTACTGTAAGGTAGAGTGAAGGATGGAGCAAGAAGTGCATATTATGAGGACATGTAGAACAAACATTAGTTGATTCTCAATCAGGTAAGCATCCACTGGGGAGTCTGTTCTACATAGTGACCTTTCTGAGAAAGAAGCTGTTCAAGTGGAACTTAATCCTTCCCAAAGGAACATAAAGGAAATGTGGATGATTTGCAATCATGAATGTAGCATGGCAGGTCCTCGCTGCAAAAGTCTGAGCTAGTGGAAATAAGGAATGTAGCTTGTTTAAACATTTGCTAATATAATAGTAATAATGATACAGTAATAAGAAGCTAACAACTTTTCATATGTGGGATAAGCATTGCAAGAGGTTAGATTAATTCATCACCCACAAGGCTGTGTAATAACTTTTGCATTATGTCAAAGCTGGACAGTACTACTCCATTCTCAGTCTGATCTAACTCTTGTAAAGATAGAGAATGGCAGCAGGAGTTAGGTATTTTTTGGAGCAATACGAAGGACTAAGCATGCTTCTCACATCCTTAGTGATGACACAAATATACAAATTCCATTTTGAGGTCTGGAGTAAGCTTTAAAACCAATAAGTGATCAAGGCAAGGTGTTTATTTGAGGGTGTTCCTGCTCATCAGGGTTGAAGCAAATTTAGGGCAAGCTTGGTAGTGAAGAAATATTACCAGCTTTGTTTTTGTTGAAGCTTGAATAAGCATGGAATAATAATAATACAACACAAAATGTATGTAACAAAATGTATTGAAACAATGAAAAAAGGTACACAATATTTACAGGTAGTTTTGGTATATTCTTGGGAAGACTGTTCCTGCAGAATGGGTTGACTAAGTCGCAGTCGGGCAGAGTCTCTGGATTCGATCTCTTAATCTTCCGTCGTCTTCCGGTACCAACCCATATTTATATGGTCGGTACTCCACTTATGTAAATTAGGTGTATCATACACAACAGTTTTGGAGGTATTGAATGATACAAGCTAGTCTTTCCATCCTTGAGCTGTGAGTGTTAGGTCAGAGGAACAGGGGCCGGGTGTACTATCTGCAACCCACATGACCAGCAAGCCTGTTTGAGGGCCCTGGCAGTGCTATCTTATCAATATTTGCTTTTGTCTACATAACATTTATATGTATTACAAATTAAACTAAGCACAACAGACTATTAAAAGGACTATTAAAGAATGACAAATTTTCACGGATTTCAACGTCATTCTGGGTTGATTTTTTTTTTTTCATCCAAATCTGTGAATTTGTTTTGCTCATGCTCAGTCTCAAGAAAACACTATGTAAAATTCACTATTGTTGAATGTGTTAAAATTTTAAAGAATCTTAATGTTAAAAATTGCTTCAAAACATTGTTGATTTATTTAAGATAGAATGATCTATTATGACGTCTCTAATTTGTATTTAGATACATTGTATTTATTTTTGATTTTCTAGTTGAATTTTTCACTTATATAGCAGATGATCCATTATTTTACATAATTAGGTTACAATAAAATTTGTATTTTATATGAATAGTAGCTTATGAAAATTGAGATATAGTAGACTGGGGCACCCCATATCATAAATTCAGAGGGCCCTGTAAAGAAGAGATCAGCTACCAGACACTGGTCATCCCGATATTTGGAGATACACCCATGCACCATGGTATCTTCTGCATATATATTTAATAAGTACCTGAGGATGTTCTTAGGCAGATTGTTAATATAAAACAGAAAGAAGGTAGTGGAGAGTCTTGAGGTATGTCAGTATTAATCTCATGTGCCTCTGAGGACTGGCTATTAGCAATGACATTCTTAGACCTACCTGATGGGTAAGATGTGATAACATAGAAGACTTCCAGATATTCCATAACTGTTGAGTTTGTGTAGCAATCCTCTATGCTGCACTTTGTTGAAAGCCTTCACGATATCTAAGGCGATCACTCTTGAGATGTGTTTATTATCAAGTGCTATACTAATTCCATGTATGATAACATTTAAGACCTCAACAGTTGACCTAGAGGAGCAAAAACTATATTGTTTGGCACTCAGGAAGTTGCTTCTGTTGAGGTAGTCAACAATTTTCTTGTAGATGATAGCCTCAAAAAGTATGCTGGTAATACTGCATTGTGATGGAGATAAGGGCTCACTTGCATTCTTGTACACAGGGCATACACTAGACACCATCTATGGGCTTGAGAAGCATTTCTTCTTCAGGCATTGGTTAAGATTCAAGTTACTTTGAGAGGTACTTGAGAACAACTGTAGGGATTTTATCTGGATTTGTAGCTTTTATAGAGTCAAGGCTTCTGGAGACCTCCTGAACTGAGATACAGTGCTGTGCAAAAGTAAGATAAATTTTAAAAAATTGTCTCTTTTTCCTGGAAGATCAACAAATCTTAAACTATATATTTATTACGAAAAAGCAATTACAACCACTTTCAAAGATTTTTATGAAGCTGCAGTAAAAATATTAATTAAAAATTAAAATATGCAAAAGTAAGGGAACTCTTACATTTACACTCTGTACAGCACTGTACCAAAAAGCTTATGCTCCATGAGATGAGAAAAGTCAGGCAAGCAATAGTCTTTATCATCTAATGTAGAA